CTGACTAGGTTCTGCCCCAGTTTTTCAGCGTCGTATAGTCGGCGGGCGGTGGTTAGGGAGCGGGCGGCGTTGCCTTCCGACGGCGGACGGATAGGCTGGCTTTGTTGGAAGTGCGTTAGGTTGTACCGCACTCGTCGTTCCGTTGGCACCGTTTGCCAACAAGGTGGTTGAGGGTGAAGACGGGTGGTTGTTGACGCTGTCAGCTTGCGCAGTAGGATCGTTGCCCGTCGCCGCTGATGACGCTGTCTCTGCACTTGCGGGCTGCAGTGGCAAGGGGAGAGGATCTGTATCGGCAGTGCGAAAACTGCGGCCAGAGTTTGTGTCCTTGGCCGTAGATGACACTGGCAGCAAGGCATCGGGGTTGGTGCCGAAGGGTTGAGGCTCGTTGGCCAAGGGATTGGTTCGCGTGGAGCGGCGCAAAGGCGCAGATTTTTGGTCTGTAGGGTGGTTAGCATTTATTTGACCACCTGCTAGTGTTGTTAATGCGACTTACAAGTGCTGACTGTGAATTGTTGCTGTTGTTTGAGTTCCTTGTTTTCGGCAAGCAGCTGATGGAACTTGGCCCGCAGCTCAGCGGTTTCACGCATGAGGGCTTCGACCTTTTGCGCCTCTTCCTTGCGCGCCTCCTCCTCTTTGCGCGCCTTCTCAGCCTGCGCCTGGATCGAATCTGGGTTGGGTGGCTGCTGACCCCATTCCTTCCAAAGCTCGCCGACGATTTGCCGGTCGAGACTGTGGATGAGCCTCTTTAGCAGCGCCTCCGGCGGTTCATCCTTCGGGGGAACGGGGCCAGCGCCGGGCCCGGCGTTGTCGGTGCGTTTGAGGGGTTTCGCGGCTGAACGAACATCAGCGGGGAGACGATCAAGATATTTGCGAGGAATGCGGACGGTGCAGTATTCATCGTCGTCGGACTCGGCGGGCATGACGTCGGTGGCAGGTTGACTGATGTTAGGTTATCCTGTCGTTTCATGATTTGGTGGTTGGCAGGATGATGCGCGTGTGGGGGTGTGTTTGGGAGTTGCGTGAGGCGCTAAGCCACGTTAGTCGAAGATCGCGTAAGCCACAAATCCCTTGCGCCACCCACGAACCTGGTTATTTTACCATCCTGTTCCCTGCCAGAAGGAGAAAGAGAAAAAAACCGAAAGTTAGCGCACGCAAGTTTTGGCTCGCGCGGCACTCATCAACACTCCTCAACGCGATCAGCGGGTCCAACTCGCGAGGCAGGAACCATAGGTGCAACGAACCTGGTTGTGAACCTGGTTGCGTTGGCTGTGGCCTAATTGAATAGGACGATGGTTGGCGGGGGATGGATGGTGAAGCCAATTTCACAGGGTGTTCCGGGTCTCGTAGCCCACATGTTACAGCCAAGTGTGGAGAGTATGAGTCAGCAGGGAGAGGGCCCGCTATTTTCTACCTTCAACGATCGCCCTCGCGTTGGCCTGGAGGGCCTGACTGGAGCCAATTCATTGCACTTTTGACCCTCCATTCGGCACCATCGTTTTATGGCGATCCAGGCAGGGACTGCACCAGAGTTCTAGCCTCTGCCCAAACCTGCATTTAACGATCAATTGAAGCCGAGATATCGCTTTGTCTCGTGACTTTTGCAGTTCAATCTTTTGCGCGTTAACTTGTCGCTTTGTGCGCGCCCCGAAGCTCGACTTGATCCCGATTGAGACCTGCATTGGCACAGCTGCCCACCTCGCGATAACCTCAATTCGATCGACCTACCAACTTCGCTCTTTGGCCACCCCACGCTCTCTTTTCTTTTCAGTGTTTCGCTGGACATCAAACCCTCGTCACCATTAAACCTTATATCGCCCAAATCCCAGCACATCCGAGGATCAATCACACCGTCACTCTTTCCCCTGATCGGAATCAGATGTCCACCCCGAGTTGAGCGGGAAGGAGCTTTAAAATTTGTCGAGAATTGTTGATGACCCGCCTGTGGGGGATTCCTAGTCTTTGTGGTCTCTGGACCGTCTTTCCATCTCTCACTTCCCACGACACGATCCAGCACCACCCAGAACCATCCACGACCGGCACCTCTCCGGTCATTCGAGCCTTTCCCATCGCGGGGATTGATTGAGCCAGCCCACTGGGGCAGCTCTGTTATTGTTCTACTGCATCTCACCATTCGGTTCACTCATCTCCTTCGTTTCCTTTTGTCGCGGTTTCCGATCGTGGTTATTCCAATCCTTCGGTCATTAACAACATTCGGCTGAGCGTCCGTCGGCCTAAGTTAATCCCATTTCACTTTTCATTCCGATCCCTCTGGCTGCCGGCAATTTGCTGGCCAGCAGTTCCCATTCTACTTTTAGAGTCGGCCTATGTCTGCCCTTATTGACGACGCAAATCACTCTGCATCCCACCGCTTCTTTTCGCAATTTCGGGATCCCAAGCCCCCAGTGCCCTCCGAGGATTCTTCCACATTCGGCTCACCTCCGTTCCCCCCAGACTTTGGTCGCTCTTCTCCGGTCCCGTCCGAAAACCTGGAGACAATTCTTGCCGCTGAAGTCTCCCTTCCTCCGTCAGTCGAGTCGGACAACAGGGAAGACTTAGGCTCTGAAAATCCTTCAGTTGTCCTCCCGGATCCCGACATCCACGGGTCGGAGCAAGTCGTTACATCCAGCGCCTCCGATTCGGCACCTCAGGAACTAGCCTCCTCCCCATTCTGGGAAACGCTCGCGCTCATCATCCACCTCGCCGAGCGTGCCCTCCAGGAAGGAGAGGAGTGTGACACACCCAAGACACCCATCGCTCCCAACCCAAGAGTCACCATGTCGTTAAATGTCTACACATTCTCGGGGGCTCCCCTCGAGCTGGCACAAGATTACCTGGAGCACATCGAGGCCGAGGTCACCTGTCTCGGCCTTGAGGGCCGCGCCTCAGGAATTAAATCCATGGCTGAATTTAAGGCGGGTCTGAGAGGAGACGCAAGGGAATGGTACGGCATGCAGACCACTCTCGCCCAGAAGAGGAATTGGACTCTCCTCCGCACAGCCTTCGAGAATCGTTTCCCCGACGAGGAGAATGACGACCGGTTCGACGCGGAAACCAAGGCTCAAGTCTCTAAATCCTCCAGACTTCCCGGAAAGGCTCTCACCACATACCTCACCCGAGCCAAGCACCTCAACAGTCGGGTCAAGGACACAGTCACTCGACACATCCTTATGGAGAGGATGATCACCCAGATGGTGGACGGAGAGTCGGGAGCAGACATACAGAAGCAGATTTACAATCACCTCCTCCTGAAGGATAAGGCCACCTGGGACCGCATTCTCCTTCTCGACGGGATGACCTTCGAGGAACTCAGACAAGTCGCTATGCACTATGTCATCACTCCGGGAAAGGCAGCTCGGATAAGGGAGGAAACCTCCCGCCCGGTTCCATCCGATCCCACAAAAAGACTCGCCATCACCATAGAACAGATGGTGTCATTAATGGAGGCCATGATAAGGGGAGTCAAAACTCAAGCTCCAGCTCCTTTTCCTCCACCCGAACATGCTGCTCCCCGATAGGAGTATAGAGGAGGAGCAAGAAACCCATACCGGTCTTCTCTCGTTTGCTGGAACTGTGAGGCCCCGGGTTATCACCTGGACGAGTGTTCTCAGCCCCGGGATCAGCATAAGATCAATGTGGCAGCAGCTGCTCAGAGAGCCAGGCGAGAAGCTCGGGAGGCTGCCACACCCGCTACGGGAGCCAATGCTGAGCCTGTCACCATGATGCAATTTATGGTTCCCCGGGTCCTGTCACACAACTCCTTATCCCCTTAACATCCTCCACCGTCCATCCCAAGTCCATCAGTGGACCCTAACGAGACACTGGCGATGTTTGAGGCGTGTGCAGTCAAACGAGCCAACAACCAAGACTTTCGGGTTAACCCCATCGCCCGCCCAAAGGGCACTGGCTCGTCCACCAACTGGAAGCCTGAGAATCTCCTCCCCTCAGCTCGGCGTCAGCATCCTCCCCCTCAGGAGCCTCAGGCCCCCGCTCACACCCAGCGAGCATATGACCCAGCCGCCCCCATCGTCATGGAAATTGAGGAAGAGGTTGTGTCTCCCACTGTCAACTCAGCGCCCGCCCCAACACCCCGGCCTCCTTGTCCCACGGTCGAAGATAAGGATGAGGCCACCTGGGAGGACGCCCCCACTCAGGACCTCACACGGCAGGTCCGAGCCCTCATTACGGCCCTTAATAAAGCGGACATAGCAAAGCTCCCTCATGTCATTAGGGCAGCTTCGGCTGTTAAAGCTCGCAAAACGCGTCGACGACGCGTTCCCATCGCTGGGGCCGAGCAGGAGGACGTCGTCGATGTTGCCCAGCTCCTCCGACAAGCCAATGTCGAAATCAGTCTTCTCTCTATGTTGAACATGTCCCCTCAGATGAGGGAGGAGGTCCGCGGTCTCCTGAAGCCGGCATCCAAGTCCTCTCCGGCTGCTCAGCCCCAGGCGGTCGCCCTCACGGCCGCCGGCTGCCGATTCGTCGGAGTCACTCGCTCGGCAAGGGAAGTTGGGGAAGTCTACCTTATGGGGGATGAGGTGCATTTCGCCACGCTGTTGGGATTTCGAGCATATTGCTCGAAATGATGAGCTATATTAGTCAAAGCCTATTTACTCTTATGAGATCGCATTCCCTACCTACACTATCACCTCTCCCCAGTCCAACAATATCACACGGCAGTGGTCTAAACAGCGATATCCAGACTAATCCTTTTCGGATTTGGCCGCGGTGCTGACCGTGGACAAGGACGACTCAGATCTGGACTGGGCATGTCTGAAAGACAAAGACGACGAGGACGTGGGTGGTTTTAACCAGTGGTGGGGGGACTCAACTCAGCTCGACATACCTCCCCCATTCCGTCACATCTCGTCAACACAGCGGATGGGATCGGCCTGAAACCCTCTCTCGTCGTCGTCAGGCCTGATTTGGTGCGAAAATTTAATTTAAAGGGGGACCCCTTTGAAATCCGTAGGCGCCCGCAAAATCGGGATTTGGGCACTGCTCCGCAACATATTATCGACATTTGGTTTGCTGAGCAGCAGATTCAAATCAGCGCCATGGCAGACACGCCGGCCAGGGTCGCGATGGTCAAACGATTGTGCTTCACCTACAAAGAAGTCTTCGTCAAAACACTTGAGGAAATCTGCGTCACAGACCTCATCCAGCATGATATTCATCTGGTCCCAGATGCACGTCCTGTTCGGCTCTCCCAGAAACGCTACACCCCCGACCAAGTCAACTTCTCCCAACAAGTCTTCCCCCAGATAGCTATGGCGGACCTCATCTTCCCTTGGGATGGATCCTGGGGAGCGAACACACTCTTCCCCTTGAAACCACCCAACCCAGATGGTTCGGTCAAGCTGGACGAGGACGGCAAACCAGCCAGAAGAATCGTCCACGACTTCCGCCCCATCAATTCCGTAACGGATCCGTACAATACCCAGTCCACCCTACTCTACCCTCTCTTTACTAGCGAGGCTCTCCTTTCATTAAAGCCTACACGCGAATCATTAATCAGCTCGCGCACTCGGCCTCTCTCTCTCCACTACTAGTCTAGTCGCCCTGTCCTTCATTTTACCGCTCAGCTGGTCGCCTCGCGCGTGTGCTTCGGTCTACTTGGTGCAATCTCCATCTCCTATACAATACCGCCTCGCCATGCTGTCCACAAGACGTTTCAGAGCCTTGACTTCGGTCCATTTCCAGTTTGTCGCAGACGTCAAGGTCGCGGCGGCTTCATCATCACGATCCAAGGCTCCGTCCCTTTAGTCGCAGGTCTCGTGCGGCGTCGCGCTATCTAGGTTTGTCTTCCTCTTCCCTAACTCTCTTTTCCTTTTTTTTTGCTTAAAGCTAGCCTTTTGCACAAAAGCGAGCCATCGTTAGTTTTCCCATATGTGACGTGCTCATCTGCGTCGAGTCGGACGCCAACGCCTCCAGAATCCTCGCGCCGCTTGCGATAAAAAGCAGGCATCGGTCGTACGTTAATGGCATTATGCCGAGCAGCTCCCAGTGGTGCAAACCGGCGAGTCGTTGTTTTGGAAACCCATTCGGCGCATGCGGAGGAAATGGGAAAGAAAAGGAAGAAATTGTATCTAAGGGGGAGAACAAAAGGGGGAAAAAACATTCATTGACCCTGTTAAGCATAATCGATCTGGGCATTCGAACGAGGCGCCGATTACATGATGCCTTTCGGCAAGAGTAAGATAGCCGGCGCCGCATTATGTTCCCTTATTACACCGAGGTTCCTTTCGCCCATTTCGCGGACCTCGGAGATGTTGCCCTATGACCAGCTCGGCCCGTTAGGCCAGCTTTGCCCACCGAGATCCCACCGGGAGATTCGCCCGCGGGGAGGGGTAACATAGCGGCTCCCTTCACGGGGCCGTGATGCCAGCCGATATTAGCAATAACGAAGCCCATTTCGTGTATTTGTATACGATGACTAACATGGCGTCCACTTTTCTAGACCCATGGAGGACCGGTCGTAGCCCGGTGATGAAGTCCGTGGAGATTTCTTTCCCTGGGCTCGCTGATCGTATTCAGGGACGTCCTTCCCCACACCCTTCCAATGAAATTTGCGTGCGAGAGGCTCATAGGTCTTATTTGCACCGAAGTGGCCCGCGGACGGGTCGTTATGCTACAGCCGCAACAGCTCCTTTGTCACGCTAGATTGTTGGGGCACGCAAAGATAGGCCTGGAACCCTATTCTCAACCTCAGCTGCCTCAACCTGGCCAAGATGAGTGGCAGCACCTTGTGCGTGTCCGCACCGGGCCATCAGTGAGATCCGCCTGCCAACGTCAGCATCACGAGCGGCCCCGGGACAGGGGCCACCGCAGTTCCCGTCCCCGGCGGCACCACGGGCTGCTGTGCAAAATACCACCTCGTCCTGCCCGGCGAATACTGCAACCAGCTCCGCCTCAAGTACGGCATCTCCCTGCCCGACTTTGTGACGCTCAACCCGGCCATCAAAGAGAACTGCACCAACCTCTTCGCCCGGAAAGCTACTGCGTCCAGGCCGTCGGCGACATCAATACGTACTCGGGCCGCCCCGGGCACAGCTCCACAAGGCCAACAACAACAGCACTCGCGGGGCCAAGCACCGAATGGGAGTGGCCGGGCGTTCAGCACGGACCACAGTGACCCTTCTATATAACCCCTGCCTTCTTCATGGATCCCTTCAGCAGATTCTGCATGTCCTCGGTATTGGGCGAACCCCGACGCTGCACGTATTTTACCTACCTGATCCACGTCCCACCTACCACTGTCCGTCCTGTCCCCACATGTGGCTCTTTGGGCTCGCTGGTGCTCTTTGCCTGGTTGCCTTGTTTTGCCCCAATGCATAGGGCGTGCCATATGCGGCAAAGGGCGCGCTGCCCAACAGCACTCTTGTAACTCAGACCTACACCGCTGATCCTTCCCTCTTACAGCCACATAACGCTCGGATTCCACCAACCTTTGGCGACGCGACAGCATGTCGGTGTGGCCCGCGGAATCTCTCGACTGGGCAACGCGTACAGGGACTCCAAGGTGTGGATCGAGACTGCCCAGCGAGAGGGCACCCGCCTGCACCAGAGGACCGACAGGGGCGGCGAGGCAAAGGCCCCCAACTTTGTGCCCTACAGCTCACTGTAGGAGTACTGAGACAACGCCCGGGTCTCAGGCCTTTTCCGGGAGACGGGGGTCGGCATCCCCTCAGATATGGTGCGGGACAACCTACCCTGGACGCACTCGACGCTCGTCAAGATGTCCAACGATAGGCACTCGTACCCGTCGCTCATGGTGAGTCTGTTCTAGGACAGGGGGCTCAACAACGGCAAGCTGCCGCTCTCGCGCGACCAGTCAAAGGCCCTCTTCCACGACTACACCACGGCGGACAAGGCGGCGGGCTGGACGACAGCGTTACACACCGCCGCCGCGGCGTCGCCCACGGTGGGGTTGCCAACGCCTCCCGCAACCCAGGAACAAGACTCCGGTATCGCAGGGCTGCCCGCGGGAACACAGCATCGACCGAGGAGAAGATCAGAGTCCGATTCGGTCGCGCCGCACTGCTGCATCCTGGGCTGGAAGCGGCCGAACCAGCCCCGAGCCGAGCAGACCAGCCAAGCACCCCCTGTAACGGTGGAATACACCTGTAACAACTGGTGCAGCAAGAAGCTCCAAAACAAGTGCCGGCCAGTCATGGACAGTTCCTGGAGGAGGTTAAGCACGTGCTCGACGGACGAGATCAGGTAATAACCAGTCCCCCTCCCCTTCTGTGGTCTGTCCTGAATGCAACTAACCGAAAACAGATCCTCCTAATCAACGACTACTCGAATATGCTCTGTCACGCGAGAGACGTGCAAAAAGCGCTAAGCGCCATCATCACGGCGGCCAGGGCTATTAACCGCGACGGACTTGGTCCGGCTCCAACATTGGCACCAAGGCATGGCTCAAGCCGTCTCGGCCATACCGGAGGACGTGCTTGACAAGAAGCCGCAACTGCCAGGGTCGCCGCCGTTGCCGCACCTCAGCGGCGGTGGCGGCGTCGTCGTCCCCGGCGTAACGGGCCACCGACCGGGCCGGTTCCTGGCCAGGCTGCCCGGTTTGGGCGGCAGCAGCGGGACAAACGTCTACATCCTGACGGCTGGCGAGTGGGGCGGAGGCGGCGGTAAGACTCAGCTGCTGCAGTTGAGGGACAAGACCCTGGGGGTCGCCGACAAGATCAAGTCCTTTATACGCCCACAGCAAGAGGCCGCGGCCGCCAGAACAGTCACACCGTCATACAGATGGTCTCGTTTGGCCACTCCAAGGTCGGCCTCGAACGCCTGCAGCTGCTCGACGACGAGCTCTTGCCCCCCCCTCCGCAGTCGGTGGTGGTGGTGCGGGTCCGACTGGGACATTGTCGACACGAAGCCGCACACTCGGGGCGCTGGACAAGCAGGAGGACGCCAGGTCGGAGTGCGGCCGTTTGGCCCTGTCGGACGCAGAAGACCTGTTGTCTCAAGCGAAGCCTGAGGATTTGCCGGGAAAGAAAGATACCGAGCGACGCGGCGGCAAGACCGACCCCGCCGGAAGTCCCCGGAACCGTTGACCACGAACCAGGCCCGGAAGCCGGCAGTGGCCAACCTCAGGGCCCCGCCCCCGTAGCAGATCCCCGAGCAGCACTGGCTTTTCGAGACCGCCAATGGATACACGCACTGCTGGCCCAGTCCTTTCAGCAGGTTGCCTCGGAGTAATACTCTTGGCTGGAAGAGTTGAAGAGCTTGGATACCTCTCCTTAGAAATCGCCAACGAGCTGTTGCAAAGGGAAATCTACGGACCCTGGGTTTTTCGGCCTGTTTCACTCCCTCCTGGATCCTTACTTGTTCATGGTTATCACCAAGCCCCTTGCGTTCACAACCACGGCCAGGTCCAGTCTCCAACAGCACCACATACAGGAGAAGGAAAAGATAAAGTTTACTGGCAGAAGACCCGGGCGGCGATGGCCCAGCTTTCACTGCACGACAGAGCATTGAGTACCTGTGCGGGTTAGCAGGGGTGAGGCCGGCCGCAAATGGGAGAGCCGAGACCGAGCTGGGGCACGGGAGCTTCGATGAAGGCCCAAAGGCCGTCAACGAGCTCGACGACATGGAGTCCGACACCTGCGAGATACTGGAAAGCCCCGCGGATGCGGCTGGAATGCTCCAGAAACTCGGTGGATGCTGCGACTCCTTCACGTTTCTTTACTGGCGCCCCGAAGACGCCGAACTCTATCGAGTCTCGTTTCGGTCATCAGCCGGCTCCATCAGTGAGTGCCTCAAGTATTCGGCCGGCATCCTCGATCTCGTTTACGAGATGACGCCCTTTCTCAGTAACGAGGCGGCCTGCGAAGCCGGCCTCTCGATGACCCTTGGCCGTCCGGCCCGGCCGCGCGGTTCCTAGCCCCGTGTCTTCTTTCATCCGCCCAGGGACACTGCGGGCCAATACACCCCTTCTATCTCGACACGCCTCTGGATACCGTGCTGCTCACTAGAGCAAGTGGGCCAAGAGATGGTAATCCCCCCATTTTATTCACCCCATGTGGCTCTTTGGTGGAATCGACGTAGATTGGAGATATGGCGAGGGGGCCGTTATTCGCGTTTCATGTGGAGTGGGAGCGGGGGAAAACGACCACAGAGTTGTTACGGTGCAAGCCCACCCGCAGGCTGGATCTGGTTGCGTGCCCAGAGGATGCCTTGGACACATAGGGGCTAGGGGAAATCCTGATGCGAGGCCCTCAACAAGCGATGATCAGGCCCAGCTATTGCTACACTGGAGCGAAGGGCTGATCTTGACAAGCAGCGCCTGGACGCGGTTTGGCCGCAAGGAGAAGGCCAGGATCGGGGTGACGGTGAGGGAGAACACACTGGGGGAGAACACATTCTGCCGCGGGGGACCCAACCAAGCGGCTGCGCGAATCAGCCCCAAAGTTTGGGGAGCTCTGCCGATTCTGGCACCTGGGAGCGAACCGGGAACCAGATTACTCTTGGTCTCCAGGCCGTCTTGCTGGCGCAGCAGGCCCTGCCTCTTCCGCCTGATTGGTCGCCAGCTCACCTAGGTCTAGCCTCGCCCGCCAGCGCTAGCTACCGCCACTACGAGTACCAGACGACGAGCAGCGGCCTCGTCGTGCGGCACTTGGCGAAGGCTCATGGCCGCCGGCGGAACGACGGGGACAAGACTTGGTAGCGCAGAGAGATCATCCAGGGCTGTGCCTTTCCGCGCCCGGAGACGCCGTCCCGGGAGTATGTGTGATCCCGTTGTCGTGTGTCTGTTATTCGCTATACCTTGTAGGAAAGAGATTACTTCTTGCCGCCCGCCTCGCGCCGCTCGATGAAATGCACCGCTACCGACCCCCCCAGCGCTGCGCGCGACGCCTTCTGTGCCCACCAAACCACCCACTCGACTGCCAACATGGCCATGACCAATGCCCCTTCTCATTTGGTCTCCTCCTCCCCGTCCTCCTCCTCGTCCCTTTCCTCGTCGTCTCCTGTGGCCCTTCTCCGCTCGACCGGCACCGGCGCCCTGACCGTCGCGGCCAACCATTCGCGGTCGAACCCGTGCAAATACCGCGCCCAACCCCGTCCTCTTAACCCATTGGTTGGCAGACCACCGCGACTGCTCGTGGATCGACGCGGCCGTTTCCTTGCCCGCCTTTTAAACCGTGCACACGACGTCTTGATCGCCTCCTGCGTGTCGCAGCCGCTCCCACCGCCCGTGTTGACGCCTCCACTGCTGCCGGGTGTCTGCCCCTGCTGGTGCCATCTCGCGCGCGTCCCGGCAACGCTTCTGGATATGCTCCTTGCTCCGCCGTATGTACCCGCACTGTGTGCACTTTTTGCCGTCCGTCGCCACTGGAAAACCTGGAATGGCTGGGGCCACCCCGTCTGGGTGTAACGGATCTAGGCCTGCTAAATAGTCAAAGGCTGCAGTAGAATAGGCGGTAGAATTGAGTACCTAGAGTTAGATGTAAAAGGGAGGGCTTGGTGCGTTACACCCGACCCACGCGATCCAGGCGGTCAGGACCAACAGTAGGCTCGTTAGTCCCCTGCACCTCCAGTCGGGCCCAGGGGAGGTCCCGAGGATCCCCCCGCCCAAACCCGGCCTTACCCCTTTTCCGGCAACCCGCCGGCCGACGGCATCACTACCACCCGCAGCGCTTCACAACGCCCCGGCGCATATACTCTCTCTCTCTCTCTCTCTCTCTCTCTCTCTCTCTCTCTCTCTCTCTCTCTCTC